CTTGATGTATAAGCAAATCTCTTTGTCAGGAACAGCACACAGCGTTTGCTAGTTAAGCGCATGAGTTGAAGCAAATACTCCTTATACCATGATCCTGTCCTCTGAGGTTTGGCTGTGATGGTAAATGTTTACTCTTATTTGCCAATAACTTTGTTTCAGAGCGAGCGAGAGAAGCAGGAACAAATTGAGGTCCAGAAGGAAAAGCAGAGAGAGCTGATCCTGCAGCTCAAGACGCAGCTGGATGACCTGGAGACATTTGCTTACCAGGAGGGCAGCTATGATTCTCTGCCACAGTCTGTGGTTATGGAAAGACAGCGGGTAAGGCCCCCTATGTCCTTCTGCTGGTGTCCTGTCTTAACGTTCATGAGCCTCTTACAGACTGTAGGGTTTGGTCCTTATTTCTCGCTGGCAGCTCTGATACAGTATCAATAGTTAGTCAGCGGGCATAAACCTGACCCACATCATCTGTTGCAGATGTCTATGTGCAACACAGGTGGCCCGTTTCCAATATATGGATGGGTAAAGGACTATTTTGGAACTCATGGGCCACACGATGAGATTGTGCTGCTCACTGTAGTGTTTTACAGATGATTATAGATGAGTTAATAAAGAAGCTGGACATGGACTTGAATGAAGATATTGCAACACTCTCTCCAGAGGAGCTGCGGCAGCGCGTGGATGCTGCCATAGCACAAATTGTTAATCCAGCCAGGGTGAAGGAGCAGCTGGTGGAACAACTCAAGACACAAATAAGGGATCTTGAAATGTTCATCAACTTCATTCAGGGTCAGTGCTGAGTTTTATTTAGACAAACAAATGGAGTTACTTTGTAATTCCCTGACATAGTTATGAGGTGGGAGGTCACAGATGTCAGAGGATGTAGGAAGGCTTTTTGGGCCATGGGAAAGTACAAATCACTGTAAGATGATGGTGAGGAGAACTTGAAACTGACTGGCAAGGCATAGAGAGGTTCAAGAGAATACTGACCTTAACACTTGGAATATGCAGCCTAAATTCACAGCAGTGTGAAATAAGCGTGGATTTCTTCTTCTAGATGAAGTTGGGAGCTCTGGTAAGGCAGAAGATGGACACTGTGAATGTTCAGGAAAAAAAGATGGCAGTGGCTCCTACAAATCAAATACGCGATCTTCTGGAAATAGAGGTAGGCCCTGCTTGGCTCTGGGTTCTCAGTATTGCTCTTCCTGCCGTGCATTTGTACTTCAGCTAGCATGAACTGGCACCCAGTCACTTTAGATTGCTTTTTTTTTTTTTTTGCTGGCGGTTGGTTTCCGTTCTTTCCTAATCTCCCTGACAGAAGGTGTGTGTCCAGTTCCTTTCCCCTTCTTACGTGGGATCATTAAAGTTGTCACAGAACCTGAATACATGTGGCACAAAGGGGTGGGACTGGTCCTCAGCTGAGATCAGGAGTAGAAGGAACTTCTGATAATTAGCCCAAAATCCAGACAGATGGAGCAGCCTTGTCTTGCACGCGCTTCTGGGCTACGCTGTACTGCTCTTTGAGTTCTTGGCTCTGTGAGCAGACTTCATGAGCTGGATGGATTCAGTGTTCCTTATAATCTGAGACTTGTCTACCTCTTGTATGAATTTGTTGAGCTAGCAGTGGATGCGAGAGGAAACGCTACTATACCTTTACCTCTTATAATCTTAGGCATCTGCTTCTAGTCAGAGACAGAATGCTGGGCTGGATGGGCTGGGTCTTACCTGGTGTGGCTATTCTTAATTTAGTAATGGTCTCAGGAGTAAGAAAAGGATATTAGCCTACTGAGACAAGAAGCTGCTTGAAAGTAGCCAGTGGTCTCCTTCAGCAAAGGTTTTGATTTGGTTGCATCTGCCCACTGGAAAAGCTGATGTGGGGTTTCTTTCCTGTTGTGGGATTTACAACAGACGTGATTGTTGAGCATGGGCCATGTACTTTGTTTTCTGGTTGGCCTCAGTGCTATGAAACTGGAAAAGGCAGCATCAGTTTACTGCCAGAAACTCCTAAGGAGAAGCAGAATCTCTGATGGAGGGGGAGCAGACCCTTGTACTCCTTTTGTGTGTATGAGAGAGTAGAGATAAGTTGATTCCTTAATGAGAGCTTTTTTTTTTCCTCTCTCTTTTTTAACCTAATCAGTGAATCCAGAAGATGCCAGAAAGATGCGAGAAACGGGCCTGCACCTCATGCGTCGCATGCTTGCTGTTCTACAGATATTTGCTGTTAGTCAGTTTGGTTGTGCTACTGGTCAGATTCCTCGCACTCTCTGGCAGAAGGACCAAGCCAACAAGGACTATTCCCCCTTAATTAAGAAACTGGAGTTGTCTGTAGACCGGGTGAGGCAGCTAGCAATGAAACACCAGCAGGAAGATCACGTTATCAGTTACTCCAGCATGCAGGATATTCCCTTAGGAGGGAGAGATGAGCTGACTCTAGCTGTGCGGAAGGAGCTGACCATTGCTTTACGAGACCTGATGGCTCATGGGCTCTATGCCTCCTCTCAAGGAATGAGCCTGGTGTTGGCGCCCATTGCGTGCTTAATTCCTGCGTTTACATCGTCACCGCAGACCATGCACCCCTGGGAACTCTTTGTGAAGTATTACAACGCTAAGAACGGACAGGCCTTCATGGAATCCCCGGCTCGTAAGCTCTCCCAGTCCTTTGCCTTGCCTGTGACGGGAGGAGTCGCTATTACCCCCAAACAGAGCCTGCTGACAGCGATTCACACGGTTCTCACTGAGCATGATCCCTTCAAGCGCAGTGCAGACTCTGAACTGAAGGCCCTAGTGTGCATGGCATTAAATGAGCAGCGCTTGGTCTCCTGGGTAAATCTGATCTGCAAATCTGGAGCTCTGGTACAATCTCACTACCAGCCATGGAGCTACATGGCAAACACGGGCTTTGAGAGTGCGCTCAACATTCTCAGTCGCCTGAGCAACTTGAAGTTCAGCCTCCCAGTTGACCTGGCTGTCCGGCAGCTGAAAAACATCAAAGATGCTTTTTGATGTATTTTTATTATAGATCATCCACTTCCCTCGAGTAGGCAGCTGCTGGGCTCAAGAAGCCTGGCTTTTTTTAAAACCAGATTTGGCTCTTTGAAATTGATATTTGCTTTTTGGGTAATCTTATGGTGTCTTGATGCTGGAAATCTGTGTTTTACAAGGCTGCCAATGCAAAAATGCTGGAGGTTGGGGGCTGTAAAGCCCCTCACCTTGCCCTGTTTCTGCAGCTCTGAAGAGCAAAACTGCTTCACTGATCAGCAGATGCCACTAAACATTGAATGTATTGGGCTAGCTGCCTGGAATGTACCAGAAGCCTGTCCAAGGGAGAAGGCCCTTCAGAGTACAGTGCAGCTAGCTCCTGTGCTGTATCTGCATGATTGTTTCTTAAAATCTGTGATCTAAGTGATGCCACTGTGAGACATCTCTCACAGGAAGAGTTAGGCAATCTGATGGATGCTTGGCAGCAGTACTTTGGCTGCTTAGGCTTGATGGGTTGCCTGGGGGTGAGTGATTTGCTCTTCCCAGTGTGAATGTTGAAGAAAACTGGGGGCAAATTCTGCTTAGCCGCAGGTTCCTGTGAAAGCGTACCTTCTAAACGAGTGGCTCCAGAAGTCCACAGAAACGGTGATGTTCTTCAGGCTGCCAGGTGATGGGACTGACATTCAGGTTGCTTTGTGTAAGAATCCCAGAGCTCCGGTTTGACGCCTGTGTGCAAACATCGCGGTACCAGGAGCCTGGTGTTTTACAGCAGGCGCATTAATTGCTGTAGCAAGCGTATGTGCGGGACGAATCCTTTTCCAGTTACTACGTTTTAATTTGTGTTAGACATTAGCCTTTGGTGCTGCAAGTATGCTAGCTCACTCGGCTCTGTAATATTTATAATCAGTTGCAGGATTTAAATTTATCTGTAATTGCTGGTCTGTGGTACAGACGGACTTCCTCTGTGCTTCTGTGTAACAGCAGAGCTTTCTGCTGAGGGCGAGCTGTATCGTTGCGACGAAATCCGAAATGAAATCGAGAAAGCTGCTCGCTGGCCCCTTGGATTGCGATAAAACCCTTCCGGCCCAGGTAGGCCCC